GGGTTTAGGGTTTAGTAGGGTTTAGGGTTTAGGGGTTTAGGGTTTAGGGGTTTAGTAGGGTTTAGGGGTTTAGTAGGGTTTAGGGTTTAGGGGTTAGGGTTTAGTAGGGTTTAGGGTTTAAGGCTTAGGGGGTTCGGGATACGAGTTTAGGGTTTCTTGGGCTTTGGGGTGGTAAGGTCAAGCCCTAAATCGTCCCAGTTCGGCTTGTTGGCATCGGCTAAATCCTAGACCCTAAAACTAAACCCTGAAATAGAACGGTTTAGGGTTTAGGGTTTAGGGTAGACTCCAGGCCGTCGCCGTACTTTATGAGCACCTCAAGGGCAATCAGCTGACGATCGCGGTCCATCTTGCCTCCTCAGGCACGGTTGGGCGCGAGCTAGGAAATGCGCAGTACAAAGAAGGCATTGCTGGAAGCGAATGCTTGGCAAAACAGCGGCATTATTCACAATGGTAAGGAACAAGATAGCAGGAGCGTGCGACATCTCGAAAAAACGTGGTCAACGCGCCCTAAGCCCAAAACCCTAAACCCTAAACCCAAAGCCCTAAACCCTAAAGCCCTAAAGCCCTAAAGCCCTAAACCCGAAAAGAGCAGGTCTAGGTGCAGGAGGCCTTTTTGTGAATGCTGCGATGCACTACTCTCAGATTGAATTCGGCTGGCGTGCGACCCAGCAGCTGGGCCCTTTAATTAACCAGGTTTAGCGTTCAGGATTTAGGGTTTAGGGGTTTAGGGTTTAGGATTTAGGATTTAGGGTTTAGGGTTTAGGATTTAGGGGTTTAGGGTTTAGGCTTTAAGATTCAGGGTTTAGGGTTTAGGATTTAGGGTGAAGGGTGTATGGTTTGAGGGTTTAGGGTTGAGTGCTAAAGGGGACCCTTCTGAATCCTACTTGTAGCTCTCTTAAAAGGCACCTTATTGAGAGGGTCTATATCCCCTCAGAGGTTCCCTAATCCTAGCTCCCACGAGAAAAATGAGGAAGCTCAGCGCCGGGGCCTGCGCCTTTCTGCTGACCTTCGCTCTTTTGGGGCTTTGGTGGGCCACGCGAGGGGGCCCCCGAAGCACCAGCCGCGTCGTTGGAACTGGGGCACCTTTGAAGAGGTCGTTGTCCTCGGCTCTGAAGGAGCATGGCCAGGCGGGGTTTGGGCTTTAGGGGTTTCGGGGTTTAGGGGTTTAGGGGTTTAGGGGTTTAGGGTTTAGGGGTTTAGGGGTTTAGGGGTTTAGGGGTTTAGGGGTTTAGGGGGTCGAGCGGAAGCATAGCAGGGCTTGCAGCTCAACGTCATGGCCTTTGGGTGCAGGGTGCCCGCTTCTAGCCTAGTCTAGCCCCAAGATGAGGACCTCGTACATCCATTCTCCGAGCTCAACTTTGTGCTGCTCTGTGCCGCGTACTTCTTCTTTTTCTGTGGCTTCACTGTGCCCTACACTCATCTGGTTTTCTATGCCCGGGATGTCCAGGGCTACCAGGATGCACCCGCGATGATGGCCAGAATGGGAGCAGCGAGCCATGTTCGCACGATGCATGCCCATCAACACATGTTACATATCCTCGAACTCCACACAACCCCCCTAGACGCCTGAGCTCAACCCTAAACACTAGACCCGAGATCCTCAATCCTGTAAAAGTAACCCTCCACCCTAAACCCGCAACCCTCAACCAAAATCACCAAAACCCGGCTTTCCGCTGCCGGCTGTTAGCGTTCAGGATTACTGCAGTGATTGATAGCAGTGTTTCCTGATACCTCTGTCATTGCGATTGTTGCATACGTTTGGTTAACACAAATCATATACCCTGGATCAGGAGCATTTGGGCTTAATCTAGGGTTGCTTTAAATGTGTGAGGGCAAGCCGCAAACAAGCCGAAGGGTACAGGGTTTAGGGCACAGGCTTTCGAAGGATACCAACCCTAAACCCCTAAAGCCTAAAACGCTAAACCCCTAAACCCCTATAGTAGCCCTTATAGAACCCTTTAAGGAACCCTTTAAAGGACCTGGATCCTAGCCCGGGACGGTTCAGGGTTTCGGGTTTAGGTTTAGGGCTTAAGGTTTCGAAAGCCCAGGTGCTGAACCTGAATCCTCAATCCGAAACCTGAAATCTCAAAGCCCACGACTTTGGTCAAGAAGCCAAGGCCCCCCAACCTTTTAGGGGTTTAGGGTTTAGGGTTTAGGTTTGGGGTTTAGGGTTTAGGGTTTCTTAAGCCGCTCTCAAACAGGGTTTCTTAAACCGCTCTAAAACCCAAACCCTACATGTAGAGCCTAAAACCCAAACCTCCAATGCCTAAACCCAGAGGAGTATGCTGGGATCACTTGCCTGCGGCTTTCTCCCGAGCTTCTGCCGCGCGTCGGCGGTGCTCATGCTCGTGATTGCCATCCTCAGCCTGACCATTATCTGCCCTTTGAGTCCTGTAAACACCCCTTTTTTTGGTGGGCTCAGAGATATCACAGAAGCAGAGCTTCAGGGTTTGTTTTCGTAAGCCGAGCCGAGAGGAAGGGTTTCCTTGCTTTTTTGGGGCGCTTGAAGCGAGCAATGTAAGGTCTTCCTTACTGCCACGATGCCATGGAGCTGGAGGCCTTTGCCCGGCTCTTTGGGACCTTCGCAGGTATACGTCTCGGGGTGCAGAGCCTTGTGGTGGCCGAGTTTTTTGGCGGGGAGAGGCTGCCTCACCTCTACGGCCTCGCGAACCTTCCCATGAGTTTGGGCTCCTTGGTGGGGCCATCGGTGGTGGGAGCCATCTACGATGCAACGGGCAGCTATACCCTGGCTTTCTGGGGTGCCGGGATGCAGATGCTGGTGGCCATCCCACTGCTCATCTTGGTAAGATGCCGATCTGGTTCTGCCAGAGTGGCGGTTGCTGTCAAGTAGCGCTAGCGCCTCAGGTGCTTGACAAGGGCTTCTGGGCACCGCTCTTGAAACTACTTGCATAGATTTGCATAGCATTCGAAACACCGAAGCCCCATAACCTGCTGCCCATCACAGTTGGTAAGATCAATCCGGGTCGACCAAAGTGTGTCTGTCTCTGGAAGCATGCTCGTGGCTGCCAAAGACGTTCGCAGGTGGTCCTGAGGTTTCTAAGGGTTTTGGGGTTTACGGTCTTAGGATGTGGCACTGGGGTTTAGGATTATCGAGGCTTTGCAAGGAGTTGAGGGTTTTGCATAGCACGACGTTGCAATGTTCATCTTGGCGCTGCTGTGGTGACGATGATGAGGAGGGTGATGGTGATGATACTGAATTTCGACATGCCTCCCACCGCCATCTTCGCCAACCAACGACCACGCTACCCCTCTTTCATTTAGACAACTGACCTTGGGGGGGGGGGGGCGGTGCCAGGTTAAAGTCACTGGAACGACTTTTGGAACATTCCCGAAAGCATGACAATGTGAAGAAGGGGCTGCCGGGTGAAGCTACTTGACATATCTTACAAGCCGCCATCCACAGTCGTGAGTTCGGTGTGATAATGATGTGATGACGATGATGACTATGATGATGCTGGTGATGATGAGGATTGCTGAAGTTGATGGTTATGATGGCGAGGATGATGCCAATGGTGATGATGATGATGATGGTTATGGTGATGGTACCACTAGCCCACACCCTAGTTTGAACTCTAGAGCCCTGTAAACACAAACTGCGAAGCCCTTAAGCCAGCAAACCGCGCATTCCTGAAGCCCAAAACCCTAAACCCTAAACCCTAAGAACATTGGTTCTTCGAGCCCCAATGCCGACCGCCTCAACCCAAGAGCAGAACGTGTATCCCTCGATCCCTCAAACTCAAGCTCGCAACCTCTAAACCCTAAACCCTAAACCCTAAACTCTAAACCCTAAACCCTAAACCCTAAAGCCTAAAGCCTAAACCCTAAAGCCTAAACCCTAAACCCTAAACTCGACTCACAAGTTCGAAAGTTCTATATACTCCCTGGGCCTGGAATTCCTAAACTCCAAATCCTTACAGCTCGAAGCAGGAGCCTTCACTAAACTTGAAATCCTGAGTCGAAAGCAGATGCCAATAAAGAAAGGATTGCAGCGGTTTAGAGTTTGTAGGCTTAAGGGTTAAGGGTTTAGGGTTTAGGGTTTAGGCTTTAGGGTTGAGGGCCCTGAGACGCCCTAAGCCGCAGGCTGTGCAAGTTCGATGGCGAAGGGACCCGGCTCATGAGGCCCAACCTTGGGAGAGGTTTCGGAAGGCCTTGGGATTTAAGGCTTAGGTTTTAGGGTTTAGGGTTTGGGGCTTTGGGATTCAAGGATTAGGTTTTAGGGTTTAGGGTTTAGGGCTTTGGGATTTAAGGCTTAGGTTTTAGGGTTTAGGGTTTAGGGCTTTGGGGTTTCAGGCTTATATAGGTTTAGATTAAGAAGCTTCACCGGAAGTCGAAAGCTAATCCTGAACAAGCTTGGTAGACGATCCGCGGTGGAAGCTTCCACAGACCCCTTGTATAGAGCACTTTAGAATCTTTGAATGAAGAGCCTGTATAGAGGTCTACTTAACTTGCAGAACGAGGGTTATCTGGGACTGGTACTTCAGCCCTGATGGTAGCCCTGATAGAACCCTCCAAGGGACCCCTTGAATGAACCCCCTAATTATTGAGCCCCCTAAAATTAGAAGAGACCCTTTGGGCTCCAGGAAACCTTCATGGACGCCGGCCTTCGGTTTGGGGTTTAGAGCTTTTGGGGGTTTAGGGGCTTGGGGTTTAGGGGTTGAGGGTGGAGGGTTTAGGATTTAAGGGTTCAGGTGTAAAGGGTTCCTAGGATTTTTGGGGTTTAGGGTTAGAGTTTAGGGCTTAGGGTTGGGTTGAAGCTTACTTGGCTTCCCTGATATTAATCGAGGCTTTGCAAGGCTTCATGATACGCACTTTGGGGGTGTCTGGTTTAGGGTTGAAGGTTTTAGGGTTTAGGGTTAAAGGGTTTTAGTTCTAGTGTTCAAGGTTTTGGGGTTTAGGGTTTAGGGTTCAGCGATTTGTGCCCGGCGGAAGCCAGGATGTCACAAAAAATTGGAAGGAGTCTGATGTCGAGGCCCATGCAAGGCTGAATTCTGAGCCCAACACCTCCTCAAGGGCGGAGGCCGCAAGCACACACACACACAGAGACACACGCAGCCATCTTATGAATGTGGTACGCCAACATTTGCATCAATGGACCAGCAAGCAGGTCTTGACTCTCTGTCTGTCTGATTGTCTCCATGTCTTTGTGTATGTATGTCTGCATATATACAGATACTTTCATACCCCGAAACCCTAAATCCTAAACTCTAAACCCTAAACCTTACACCCCTAAGCCCCAAACCCTAAACCCTAAACCCCTAAACCCTAAACCCCTAAACCCTAAGCCCCTAAACGCCTAAACCCTAAACGGTGTAGCTCGGTTCAGTGCCCCGCCTTTCCAGCACACTGCACCACCCAGAGAGCCCAATACCCCTTAATTAAGGAATATACCTTAAATTACAGGGCCCTTAATATTATGAGTTAAGCTATATTCCCTTAATTAATTCCCTTATAGAAACCCTTATGGATCCCTTTAAGGAACCCTTAAGTAAGGTAGGTATATTCCCCTAAACCCTAAACCCTAAACCCCAAACCCTAAACCCTGAACCCTAAACCCTAAACCCTAAACCCTAAATCGTGTTAAGGTAGGTATATTCCTTAGTTAACGGGTAGTGGGCTCTCTGACGAAGGTCCCGGGAGTTCCACCAGATCGCCGGGCGAGCTGGGAGGAGCCCCTGGTGAGTTGTAAAGGGTTCCTAGGGTTTTAGGGGTCTAGGGTTGAGGGTTTAGGGTTTAAGGGTTTAGGGTTTAAGGTTTAGGGGTTGATTTTAGGGTTCTTAGGGTTTTAGGGTTGATTTTAGGGTTCCTAGGGTTTTAGGGTTGATTGTAGGGTTCTTAGGGTTTTAGGGTTGATTTTAGGGGTCTTAGGGTTTTAGGGTTGATTGTAGGGGTCTTAGGGTTTTAGGGGTGAGGGTTTAGGGGTTTAGGGGTTTAGGGTTTAAGGGTTTAGGGTTTAAGGTTTAGGGGTTTAGGGTTTAGGGTTTAGGGTGGTTTAGGGTTTGGCGCCTAAGATTTCGGGCTTAGAGTCGTAGAGGTTTCCGTTTTGAGGTTTGGCCCTGAGGTTTGAAGGTTTAGTGCAGGGCTTGGTTTTTATGGCTTAGGGGTTCTTAGGGTTTTGAGGGATCTGCAGAAGAAGACACCGCTACAACCGTTTTGGGGGTCCGGGGTTTCGGCTCGGGAGAGCTTTGCAACTGTGGAAGGCGTGGCCGAACATAACTTCACAATCCAGGCCGTCTACCCAAAACGGGAAGCCCGAAACCGCCCATTAGACCGATCAGCCAGAAAAAGGCGCGGGATTTGAAAATATCACTATGTGATTCATTATAGCACAATGCATCCCAATGCCTTCTAGTCATTGTCTCGCGGGCTAACCCAATCCCTGACCCTGATCCTGGCACTGGTCGTGGCTGTTGCTTTGCAGCTGTCGTTGTCTCCCTGATCCGCCTTGGATGTCCTGTCCGCCCCGCGCCCTGTCTGACTGTCCGCCCTTCGCTCCGTGCGCCGTGCTCTAGGTCTGCCTGTGGGGCACGTGATTTTTAATTATAAGAAGGAACACCAGAAAAGTGTTGGTAATCCAATGCTTTCGGCCCCTATAGTAGCCGTAGCCAAAGGAATCAGAGTGCGATGATGTCGTCCACGTCCCCATAGGCGCACCGAAGACGCAAAGTCCACCATTTTTTTTGTAGTTGTTTTGGTTCAGGGTTTATATAGGGCTTAGGGTTTAGGGTTTAGGGTTTATAGTTGTTTTGGTTTAGGGTTTAGGGCTGATTTCCTCCAATATATTGGCAAGGCGAAAGCCCCTTGGGCCGAAGACGTCGCCAAGTAGACCCTACGTGCTCGAATGCACGGCCCGAAGCAGCCAGAGAAAAATTACCCTAAACCCTAAAACCCTGAACCCCAAAATGGGACGCTTCAAGACCCTGAAAGTTGCAAGTTGGGTGATTTGAAGGTGGTTACGTTTGGAGACTGATAATGCGCACTGCCAAAGTGCACCCTTCATCGCTTGGCACGCCCGGAACATCCCTAAACCCTAAACCCTAAACCTAAACCCTAATCCCTAAACCCTAAACCCTAAGCCCTAAACCTGAAACATCCTAAACCTGAAACATCCCCAAAGCCGGCCTCCCGTCCCCGCGACTCGCAGGAAAGGGTTTGACACACGTGGCGATGTGGTGGCCTGCGCCTCAGCCTGCCAAGGGTCTAGGGTTTAGGGTTTAGGGTGTAGGGCCAGGGGTTTGTAATTTGGGGGATTGCAATCAGAACGGCATGACACAGGGTTTATACATGTTAGTAGCAGCGTCCCACAGTCTCTGCAAGTCCCCTGTCTCGTTGCACCTGGGTCTGTGGTGTGTGGGTGATCGGTGTAGGCTTCAGGGGTTACGAGCAAAAACCCTAAACCCTAAACCATGTCGCGAGTCATCGGCTTAGGATTAGGGCCCAGTTTGGGCGTGGCAGGCCCCAGCAAAGCAATGTGCGAAGAGGTATCTCTAAGAAAGTCCACGGATGCACACATAACATACGGTTGCAGAAAACCATTCCCCTTTAGTTCCTGTATAACTTCACTAGAATATCCCCCCGCCAAAGCGAAGGCCCCTATCAGGCCCTATCATATATGACCATATATGAGACTTTCCGAAAATTAGGGTACCTCATTTTGGGGTCCTTTTAA